AGAGAGGGATGTTCTTTCATTAGTTGCTACATAGCCACATTACAGCAGCAGTTAGCTGTGGTTTTGAAAATGAAAATTTCCTGGTATCCGAAACAGAAAAAGGTAGTTGCGAAAGACAGAACTCTGTTCCTAAAACAAACAGCTCCCTTTAAAAAATTTACTGTTTTAACACAGAACGTAAATAGATTTGACATTGGTAACACTGTCCAGTATCCAAGCTGCCTAATTAAAACGTGAGTATATGGTTACAAGCAGAGTAAGCACATCTATCTTCATAGTCTTAAATAAATAAGGATCTGCCACCCAAGGGTTTAAGGCAAATTAATACAGGTGTTGACAGGACTTCTGGTTCCCTTCAAGGTAATACAGTTCTATCAGTGCTGTGGATTTATACTTACGAACACTTGGATGAAGACCTTCCACTTAACAGTGACATACCTGCCACTGATTCCCCAAGTGATCAGATTTGGAGGAGCTTATCCAAGCGTAACATCAGGATTAACGCACCACTTAGGTCAAACAGTGAGCTGCTATTCTCATGTTTACCTAGGCATTTTACATACTCACTTGGTGTGAGAAAAGGTATGTGGTAGATATGGTACATCTTCTGAAAACTGAACCATTACACAGGGATCACTGCTGACTTGGAGGCAAGCATCTGCTTTGAGGTGCTCTAGAATAAGCATGAATAATCATTTAATGTCTGCAAAACAGATGATATATTCTTCTGGCTCTGAATCATTGTAAATAACTGACCAGGCACCATCTGAATTCAGGTATCTTTAAAAAAAAAATTTAAAAACCCAGCTCTTCTGGTTGTTTAACCTACCAGCCTAAAGCTTTTACAGATCACTGAGCCCATTTGTGCTACTGCAGTCAACTACGTCACACAATCCTCCGTGTAAACACAGCATGTTTCTAGAAAGAGATAGGTCATTGCCCACTCCCGTCCCAGTGGAAGGCCAGTCCAAAACCTTGCAGGTCTGAGAGACAGTAACTGAAATATGGATTTTAGACTACATTTATTGGTGCTGATTTTTCTCTTATGTCAGCCTTGTTTTGGGTACCCCCCCCCCCCCCAAGTTACACCTCTTCCACCCTGGCTTTTACTTCCCTGCTCTATTGCAAAAGAGCAATAGTATTAACCCAAACATTAATCATAGAATAGTTTGGGTAACAAGTGACCTTTAAAGGTCATCTAGTCCAACCCCCCTGCAGTGAGCAGGGACATCATGAACTAGACCAGGTTGCTCAGAGCCCCATCCAGCCTGACCTGGAATGTTGCCAGGGATGGGGCATCTACCACCTCTCTGGGAAACCTGGGCCAGTGTTCCACCATCCTCATCGTGAAAAGATTCTTCCTTATATCTAGTCTAAATCTGCACTCTTTTAGTTTAAAACCATTACCCCTTGTCCTATCACAACAGGCCCTGCTAAAAGGTCTGCCCCCATCTTTCTTCTAAGCCCCCTTGAAGTACTGGAAGCTGCAATAAGGTCTCCCCAGAGCCTGCTCTTCTCCAGGCTGAACAACCCCAACTCTCTCAGCCTGTCCTCACAGGAGAGGTGTTCTATCCCTCCTCTAGACTCACTCCAATTAATATTTTACAGGATTTAATGCCATACAGGATCTGTTCAGATTGCATGGAAAATTTTAGTTATCCGCTCCAGACCTGACTTACTAGAAAAAAAACACCCACCCCCCAAAAAAACCACCAAACTCTTACAGATAACTAGTCATTGTAACTATGCAAGATGGCACAGCCAACACATTTAGGACAGAGAATGTACCCATTGAGCTTAGGTGACAAACTCAGACAAAAGGAGCACATTTGTGGGAAGGTTTTGACCCCCTGAATACACACCTCACAGTCTCAGAGTTATAACAAAGCTGCCAAATGTTTTATGTCATAGCTTCCATTTACCTTTTCCAAATGCCCAGAAGGTATGCCAAGAGAAACGCAGCCCCACCAGTTCCTATGGCTGAACAGGCTGCGGTACTGGAGACACTGACCTCTGCCCAAGAGAGCTTCATTTTTGGTTCACAATAAACTCTACCTGCTGAGCTCCGGAGCAGCCTCAGTACCTCCATACAGCAGGAGCTGATGGCAAAAAGTGATGGCTTACACAGAATGTGGTTACATCATGGTAGACAATAACTTCTGCAAGGCACAACAGAGAATATGAAACTGCATACCAGCTTTCAACTGACAACCAAAAGACCAAACTAATGAGGAAGCTTCTGCTGCTGTCATAAATAAGGTAACTTATACAATTTCTAGCTGAACAGTTTTATTCGCACCATAATCTTTACAATATTCATGTTCAGGGTAGCTATTGTCTGGGATAGCTGATGTTGACAGATAAATTACCCTGAACAGCCCACTGAACTAAAGGCAAAATGGTAATTTTCCTTTTTTGTGTCTTATGATTTGATTGTAGTTATAGAATAGTTTATTTTTTTGGCTATTAATACCAGATTTATAACTGATAACAGATGTGTCAAAAGGCCTGTTATGACAATTCCTGGTTTAAGAGCAACACAGAGACGAGGGTAATTGGTGAATGTGATTGTGTTGAAGAAACTCTATGAGAAAGGGTTTGCTGACTCTCAAGCTTGTCCAAGCAAGTCCAAATCCCAAACCCTCCTACCACCTTCTACAGGATCAGAGCACCACCACTACCTAGCTACTATGGTAGCTAGGCAATGGCAAAACTATCAGACCATATAAGCTGTGGCAAGATTAGGTAGTCCTGCTGTCCTAGTCATGTAAAATAGTATGTGTTAAGCATCACCATTAGTCCCAGGTTTAGAATACTAAATCTGATTTTAAATATTGACAATACAATTTGTAAAAAGGCACACAACGATTTTAATTCAGCATGATTTCAAGTACAACTACTTTCAATCTGGCATTCCAAAACAGTCATGCAAGTTTATCCACTGAGGTTTCCCTGTCCTTTATCTTTCTTCATTGGCATTGCAAGATACCCCTTCTCATTCCCTTTCCCAAAAAACATCCTTTCCTACAAACACTATCATCCCACTTTACTTGTATCTCTCCCTTATTTCTTTCTTACCTCCCTTACTGAGGAGTAACAAGCTGCAAGTGGTATCAAAAATCACTGCTCCAGAATCAAAGTGCAGCTGTCAGCCTGTGATTCTAACACCCTGCTGGGTAAATCTTCTGAAGCTACTTGCTGTGGAAAAATAAAGTCAGATAAACAGTAATACTTTTTTGACAGTTTATTTGTGCAAAGGAGAAATATACTGGGACTAAAATCCCAAACTGAAAGCGCCAATTTATAGCATAAAATAGGAAGTTAGCTCCTTCCTCGTTACTTCAGTCTTCAGGTCTTTGCTTGAACTACACAAAAAGTTTTGTTTTTAAAGATAATATTTTTATTTTAAGAAAAAAAAATCCATATGGTGCCAAATGGAAATAAAACAGGAGGTATACTGAGATCCCTTTGAATTTTCAGAAGATGACTTTACTGATTTTGGAATGGTTAATTGAAAATTTATTTGTTTTCAGAAGTTTGAATGGATTTCAAACACAGAACTCTTACTAATTTATGTGACATGAGTATCTCCCCCAGGCGTACTTAGTCTCCAGCATATTTTAACACTAACTGGTTTTGCAAGCCGAAAAAGCTCATGATAATCATACATTACTCACATTGCTAGTCACACAGAAAATGAATAAAAGCAGTTTCCTTCAAATAAAGTGCTTTTCTCTTTTAAAAAAAATGTACATAGGTCAACCTTTAACAAGACTTATCTTACAAAGATAGTTTTGTCCTTAGAGTTTAAATGTAAAGCTTAAGCATTGCAACTCATCCCCTCCTAGTTTTAGTCCTGATTCCATTATAAGTCTTATTTGGAATAAAAAAAACTACAAACAAAAGACCACAGAACAAAGAAAACATTCTAAGCCAGTCTGGAACAACCAGGCCTAACTGTTAAATCACATTTACTGCCAGCATTTAAGTCTTTCTTCATGAACAGTAGGCAAGCATTACCATGTCTGAGTTACCTATTGGCCAAAACACAAGAGATCAGATATAGGAACAGCATTTGAAAATGGAACGAGTTTTTGGGTTTGGGGTTTTGTTTGTTTTTGTAAAGAACCATGGCCATTAGTTCATTCATCATACAGTGTTCTTTATAGTTTGTTCTTTAGACTGAAATTGGCACATTATTGTGAAAGGGGATCTCATTTTCTTATGAATTTTCCTAGAAAATATTACAATTTTCTTCAGTGCGTAACAACTGTCACTGAACTTATCGAATAGGTAGATTACAGTGAATACCTGAATAGTGAACCTAGTTCAGACTAGCACCTTTAAGTAACTGTGATGCTCTTTGTTTCATTGCAATGTTTCTTCACAAATATAGTATAAAAAAAAAGAAGTGTTAGAAGTATTTATTGGCTCTATTTGAAGAACAGGTGTTTTCCAAAGTCATGCTGGGCAGTTATTTTATCAGGTATGTCTAATTACTTATAAGTGTAAAAGACTAAAAGGATTTCACTGTCCACTTAAATCAGACAGTTATGAATACACTGAGGTGTTCTAGTTAACCACTCTAGATTAAGAATTTCAGAGCTGTGCTCAATTTAAAACTTACTAAGAAGAACAGACGTACAGCTTTAACGAAGGACTTCTGCTTGAAAGCTGATTCCGTTACTCCACTGAATACATGAGTTAGAATGTCCCAATGCTACAGACTAATTAAAATGTTACTGCTTAAATTGCAAATCTACTACCACTGACAGCTGCCTGCAATTATTCAAGATTAAGAAAGATAACAAAAGGTTTCTGCTATACAATTTTTTTGTGTGCACATAGTTCAAGTTAGATTAAAATCTGGTCACCCCCCCTCCAAAGAATTCTGGTTATTCATCCAATTATTTTCTATTATTAAAATAAACAGAACTATACCACATACAAAAGTGTTATTTTTATTTTATGAAAACCTGTGGATTTTTCCAATACACAGGTTCACTTTTTCAGACAGATCTGATGATGTTGTCTCCTCCAAAGGAATGCATCCAAAGAATGCAATTAAAATCTGTTCAAAAGCCATAGGATGGTGATGTTTTATATGGCAGCAAAACCAAAGTTTCCTGATGTAGGTAGTCCCAATTAATTCTTCCCTTTTTTCCTTTTCATCGCTTTCCATTCACCTTCCTGTGTAGCAAGGCTACCAAGGAGCTCTTTCACTTTTCTTTTTCTGTCTGAATCTCTGTAAAACAAACAATCAACATGTAAAACATTTCAGAAAGACTGCATTAGGGAAAATAAGCAAGTATATTTAGAGAGTAATTATTAACTTTAAAAAAGCCCCCAACTCTTAATTTTCACCAACACACGCTTTAAATAAAACATTCTGCATATTCTTAAACTACAAAAATAAAACTGCGAAGTTGAAAACACTTAAAACTATCTCCATTGAAAATGTTTGTTTTTCCCCAAATTGTCCAATTCTATTTATTTAAGTTTAGTATGGTTGATCGTTATTGGCAGTCTTGGCACTCAGCACAGAAATAAACACACAGCAGAACAACCCCCAAACTGGTGCTGAAACAAAGGCTACATTACCTCTCCATGATTTCTGAAAGTTGCATTCTAGCCAGAAACTGGTTATCTTTCCGAATCTCACGAATGGCTCCTTTAAGTTCACGTTTATGCTTCTGAATCAACTGCCTTCTTTCTTGCTCCTTCTTGCTGCCACCCTGCTTTCTTCCAAACTCTAAACTGAAACGAGGATATATGTGAGCACAGAACACCTTGACAAAAAACATTTTCATGTTTATAAGGAGTTTTGTGTATGAATACTAACCCAGTTTTTTAATTCCTGCATATTATATGATTAACTTGCAAAATAAGGAGCTGCACAATGAACACCAGAAAAACACTCACCAGACCTTCTAACTGCAAGTCATCATCATGCAAATGACAGACATTTTCCAGAGAAGAGTTACACTTCAATCCCTCATATGTAGCCTGCATTTTGAGCAGACTGAAAAAGCTAGAGTAGAAGACAGACAGACATCTGGACAAAGGTGGAATCTCCCAATATATTTTAAGTTTTGCAGACTTTCTCTGCAGATGAATTCTACAGAAAAAGTTTGACCAGTTACTTGGGGATGAATGGGTACAGCAGAGGAAAGTTGTCCTCTTCACCTACTAGAATAAAGCGGACAATTTATGGCCCCGTAGATAAGCAACATGGCTAGGTAAGTCAGCAGCCAATATAAGGCAGACTTCCTGAATCAGAATACTGTTCTATTATCTAGAAAACCAAACTAGTGTTATTAAAATTTAATTCCAAAACAAAATACAAAAAGGCACACTGTCATTGCAAGCTCTGTAAAAAAGGCCCACAGTTTTTGTCGTTGCTGCTGTTGAAAGGTAGGAAGCTGCTTGGTTGGGGGATATGCTTAAAGGAATGCTTAATCTGATGATTATTTGTCATGATCTGTGACGGAGAGTACAGGAATAGTCTGCCTTATCTTTTGCACCAGTGTAGCATCCCTCAGTACTTTCACCATCCACCCTGACCTTCATATAGTTCATATACATATGAACTACTCACTGTTAATCTTCAGACTTGAGTGCTTGACAGATCATTCAGTAAAGCACCTGACTAGATAACAACAACCACCTTTTTTGAGCTTGAAATCTATTAATTTAAAATTGATTATATGGGCAAAAGTTGACTTCCAGTGCTACTTTTTCCACAAGATAATTGCTCTGTTTCTTAGAACTCCTCCCTCCTTAGAATTTTTCTTTCCCTCCCTACCACGCAAGTAGCTCGTCCCTCGTGATTTGTGCACAAAATCTAGCAGAAAAAAATTATCTGTTTTATGCCGTTTTCCAAATCCTTCTAGCTTGCTGAAAATCTTAGCATTTAAACAGACTTTTCCTTTGCATCAAGTGTTGCTTTACTTACACTTTCACAATTTTAGGTGTATACTGTTTCAATGGCACTGGCTTCTTTTTCTCACATATCAGTGGGGTATAGTGTTTTACATTGTTCTCTAGCTCTTTTAGAGCACTGTGGTACCATTCCTGAAAATGCAAATCAAATTACAATTTTAAAAGCATATCAAAGACACCATAATTCACGATCTGTTGTAAACTGAATCAACAGTAATGTTCTCCCCATATGTTCTTTTTCTGGGAAAAACCACTGTATTCATTACGTATTCATCAATAGATTGGTAACACTGAAATGCTGCAAGCCTTCCAGGCTGGAAAATTTTTAAACACTTTTGGAAGTCTATTATCATGGGCAGTAAGAAACATCTGCAGGTAGTTTCATCTAACAGAGCAGGAAGCAAGACTAAAGGCAGTTTTCAGACTCTGCCTTTCAGGGTCATTTTAAGAATGATTGTTCATTTTGATGGCAAAAAATATAGGCCATTCTGCATTATTTACATTACAAAATCTTGTTCTCTAAGGGTATTTCATGATGTCTCTTTGAGGAGATGACAATTCTGCTACATTCAGAAGAGACAAATTAAGAATTTGAACCTCATTGCTAGAAAAATAAACACCTGCCTGTTTTAAGTAAGGTAGCTGACCAGGCATATTTTTGTTAGTTTGACTTAGACAGTTATAAATACCACCTCATAAATTTGGTAAACATATTTGGTTGTACCAAGGTTTTACAGATTCATTACAAAAGCACGAGCAACTGGATGACTGGACTACTAGTCTTATAAATTAACTCACTCATGGAAGTAATATAACATTCATGGAATGTTATATTACTACAAGTTAAGTGCTGTTCTCTTCAGTTAGAGGGGCAAGATACAATACGTAGTAAAAAAATACCTTTTCTAAACATTCCGTGCTCTTCGGTTTTTCCACAGAAACATCACTGTGATTTTTGAAGAGCACAAAAGGAAAATGCTTGACCCTCGAAAAAAAATCTCACTGATCGTTATACTTTGTTTTTGTTTAAGTACAGATGAAGATCACAGAATTTTTATTAATAAAACAATCACGTCAATTATTTCATTCTTGGGGAACACACCTGCATTTGTTCAGGATATTCATTCACTGGCACATGTCGCGTAAGAAGTATTCTGACAGGATGCATTATTTCATGGAACGATGGTAAAGAGTCATACAGAGCTGCACATTTTTTAATAAGGTCAAAACACAGGGCTAGACATGATAACCTGTTAATGCACAAAAGAATTTAGCCATTTCGCTTGCAAATACCGTAGTGGATTTTCAAATAAAAGGAATCAAATTAATTAAATCTGGGAGCAATAGCAGTGTCTATTAAGATCTTCTGACAGAAACAGTTACAAGGCTATTCTAGTTGTTAATTCAGATTAAAAATTTCACTCTCTTACTACAAGCAAATACCCAAGAAATCCATCAGCAACAAATCCTTATGTCAGTGCACAGAGCACAAGCCAGTACTATGTCTTTGCCACTTCTGTAGACTAAGAAGTTTTTATACTGGTTCTAAGTGTTCTGGTACTGGTTCTGAAGTTCTAAAACTTTCTTGAAACAGAATTAGTTATTCTGGTTTTGAGTTTCTTTTTGAACTTCGTAACAAGATGCTTACACATCCCTGAAATAAGTTATACCGTAACACATGCACAAGGTGAAAATTGAGGCTGAACATGGTTAATGAGTATGTTTAACTGCGGTCTTTCCTAACTTCAGTTTTACTACTTAAGTGACACTTTCTAACATAGTGTTTGTATGTAAATACAGTTATTTGCTTCTGAAGAGCTTGACAGTTCAAAGTAGTGAGCACCTCCTCTATCTTTACATCATCCTCATCAGTTCACAGCTGTACCGAAAAGGAATGAAAGGGCTGAGCTCTGCATACTGTTCGGGCAAAAGATTAGCCATTTCATATGCTACAGAGTAGTACCATAAAAATAAACCAGAATAACTCACTACTATTTTTATTCCTGAAGAGCACTGTCACTGAGATTACCCAAAAGATGGGTCTGTTTGGGATGCCTTCTCTTTATGTATGATGATTCCCTCTACGTACCTGGTATGATTAATTTCTGTTCTGCTGATTTCCTTTAACCTAGCCACAATACTCAATGGCAGATTTTGCTTCTGCCAACTTTCCAGATCCTTCTTATCACACACCAAAAGCAGTTCTAAATTTTTCCCCACTGGTGTAAATGGATGCACTACAGCATAGCCTAAAAAACAAGAACAATAATCATTAAACAAGATCAATTGTAAGCATTCTTTCTGTAGGAAGAAAACTCAAGAACTCTTTTTATGTTAATTCCCAGTGATAAGCACAGGAGAAAAATAACTCCCATTTTTAAAAAGGGAGGGCCAGGGAACTACAGGCCAGTCAGTCTCACCTCTGTGCCTGACAAGATCATGGAAGGAGATCCTCCTGGAAGCTGTGCTACGGCACATGGAAATCAGAGGTGTGATTGGTGACAGCCAATATGGCTTCATTAAGGGCAAATTGTGCCTGAAATCTGGTGGCCCTCTATGACAGGCTTACAGCATTGGTGGAGAAGGGAAAAGTAACCAATGTCATCTACCTGAACTCATGCAAAGCATTTGATACTGGCACACACAACATCCTTGTCTCTAAAATGGAGAGACATGGACTTGATGGCTAGACCACTTGGCGGATAGGAACTGGTTGGATGGTCACACTGAGAGGGTTCTGGTCAACAGCTCAGTGTCCAGGTAGAGACCAGTGATGAGTGGGGTCCCTCAGGGGTCTGTATTGGGATGAGTATTATTTAACATCTTTGTTGGGGACATGGACAATGAGTTTGCACCCTCAGCAAGTTTGCAGATGACACCAAGCTGTGTGGTGTGGTTGATACTCTAGAGGGAAAGGATGCCATCCAGAGGGACCTTGACAGACTGGAGAGGTGGGCCCCTGTGAACCTCATGATGCTCAACATAAGCAGGGTCCTGCACATGGGTCAGGACAATCCCAAACACGGATACATGCTGGGAGGTAAGTGGCTTGAGATAAGCCCTACAGAGAAGGACCTGGGCATACTGGCAGGTTAAAAACCAAGTAAGACCTGGCAATGTGTGCTAGAAGCCCAGAAAGCCGATCACATCCTGGGCTGCATAGAAAGAAGTGTGGCCAGAAGGTCGATTCTCCCCCTCTACTCCACTCTTGTAAGGCCCCATCTGGAGGACTGTATTCAGCTCTGGGACCCCCAGCGTAAGACAGACATGGACCTGCTCAAGTGGGTCTAGAGGAGGGTCACCAAAATCAGAGGGATGGAACACCTCCCATATGAGGACAGGCCAAAAGAGTTGCGGTTGTTCAGCCTGGAGAAGAGAAGGCTCTGGGGAGACCTTATAGCAGCCTTCCAGTATTTAAGAGGGGCCTACAGGAAAGATGGGGAGGGACTCTTGATCAGGGACTGTAGTGGTAGAAAGAGGGGTAACAGTTTTAAACTGAAAGAGGGTAGACTTAGATTAGATTTTAGGAAGAAATTCTTTACTGTGTGGGTGGTAAGACACTGGAACAGGTTGCCCAGAGAAGTTGTGGATGCCCCATCCCTAGAAGTATTGGAGGGGCCAGGTTGGATAGGGCTTTGAGCAACCTGAACTAGGGGAAGGTGTCCCTGCCCATGGCAGGGGGGGTAGAACTGGATGATCTTTAAGGTCCCATCGAACCCAAATCATTCTATGATTCATTCTATGATTCTGTGTACGGGGAGCAAGACGACACATAGGTACATCTCTGCCCCATGGGGAACAGGATGCACAATTAAACTGCCAGGGAGGATGGAGTATTGGATATGTTTAAGAGAAAAGGGCAGGCATAGGACTTTCCCATGGAGTTACAAGTAGAACGCTTTGACCACAGTGTCAAGCAGCACAGGGAGCTGGAATAGGGAGAGCCCACAGTTGCAGTGCATCACTGAGCCTCTCTTGCAACCTCTCAGCAGAGGCCCTCAGATACATGCTGTAGAGTCATTTCCCACTCCAGCTAAGTAGTTTTACAACAAGCATGGAACACAGAATAGATACTGGGGCAGGGCATGCAGAAAACGCTTAAGAATCACTGTGCTTCTGAACACAAGCTGATCTGTGAAATTGTACTTACAGAGTAATATGAAAGAAGCAACTGAGGAATTTCATGGCTAAGAGAGAAAATAACTTGCAGCCTCTGTGCTGATAAAAGTTCTATTTGCTTAGATCTACTTACTGTCAAAATCAAACACCAAGAATTTTTTTGGTGTGACAATATATCAACATTCCAGAGAACTGGCTGTGTGCTCATTTTAAAACATTCTGTGTTGACAGCCTAACCATCATTTATCAGTGATACTTCCACCATGAATATTTAAAAATGTGATTGGATACTTTGATAGCTTCAAAACATCAATACTGACTGAAAAAATCTCAAAGAGAACACTGTGCCTCTAACGTATCTTTTATTAAGCTTTTCCTCACTGCTAACAGAAATCAACACCATGCAAATTTAACTAGTGCAAAATCATTAACAGAAATACAAAGGAAATAAAAAAGGTTAAAATCTGATCATCAATCACCACTAAGTATTTTAAAATAGTTTATCTGATTTTGCAGTATCCTACATTTTAACTGTACCAACACCTTTGTAGATCAAACATTCCTAAGAGATTACACAAAGGACAAAAATACTTTAAGTACTATGTAATCCACCCACTCCATAACATCTTCTCAACTCTTTCTAGGAGTTCAGCTGTCAGTGTCCTGAGAATCCTGGGCTTAGCTCTGATGCAGCCCAGCTGTGTAACCTTGGCTTACACTTCAGAGAAAACTGCTAAGCTGTGAGAAGCAGCTGGGAGAAAATCTGTAGGGTACAGCCATACAAGATAAAGTTGAAACTGGAGTACTGAGCTTGTTGAGAAAGGGATCATTAGTAGCTCAAAAATTCAAAAGAAAAAAAAATGCCAGCATGGAAATGCATAAAAACCTAAAGGGGAAAAAAAAAGATAGGAGCTGCAAGACGATGACTGAAGTATGGACTGAAGATGTATTGGAACACTGCAGCAATAGAAGCTGAACCTTCCTCACCAGACTGATGACTACCCAGAGAACAAAGACTCTTCAGGTGTCTTATCAAGACTAATGAGCACATTAATACATAGATTGTAGTTCATTAAATCCCAGATGTCTTGAGAGTTTGCCAACAAATAAGTTCATTTTTCCACTTGAGAATATCCTGCCTGCAGAGTCCCTTCATGCATGCTAAGTGACACTCAGAGTGACCCAGGCACAGATACTAACACACGAATGAGTTACTATGCTCTGACAAAGCTCCTCATAAACAAACTACTGTCACTAAACTTGGCAACAAAAAAGCCCCAGATCTAGAATAACTTTAAAGCTAGAAATGAATCCAAAAGAAAATGTCAAAGAAAGAAGAAGACTGACAAATAAAAATCCTTTGCTAGCATATGCATCGAATTGAAAAGATAGTTTTGTTCTCCCTGTTGTCTGTGCAAGCTCTTAAGTTTACATAGTTATGTTACAGCACAGATTAACTCTGGTTGTGGGGATAGCTACCTTCTGTTGCACTACAGCAAATCCATGTTAAATAAGTAAAAAGGAAAAATACCAACTTTGTGATATACTTCTCTCATTCACCTCGGTGATACAGCTATTAGCTGCAGAGGAAGGGTATCTACTGTGAAGATATGGGGTAACTCATCAGGAATGCATTAGGGACTGTGAATTTCAGAGCATAGTCCCATCAGTCTATTTAAAACAACAGTATTGAAAAAATATTGCACCGTGTGCAACACGACTTCATTTGTTTTAGTAACCTTAGTTCTTTCCTTCCTGCCCACAACACTAGATGATCTAGTTCATAAGAAGATGCCCAAGAATCAAGGTTGTGTATGGTTAACCTAGCAGATGATTTTGGTCTTTTGTTCAAAACAATAAATTCAGTGTGAAAGATTTTTACTGAAATTTTAGAGATAAATGCTAATGCTGATTATTTTACTTTATAATCATTTACTCTAAAGAAACTCACCCTGGGCATGTTTTTTGGGTAGAGATATGTGAAGTACTCCGAGAAGAAAATTGATGAGTTCTGGTACAAATCTTCTCGAGAGAGATACATATTCCAGGAACAAACAGCATATAAATAACCCTTTAATAACATCTTGCAATGTTGTAATGCGACACTAAAAGAAAAAAGGCACAAAATATTTATAATTAAAAGTTTACACATCACAAACAAATATAAGATCTCCCAAAAAGAAGGAGTATTAACTAACTTGTACACATTTAAAATCTGTAAAATTACACCCTTTGGCTTTCCCTTGCCCTCACTAAAGAGTGTACGCAGAATTGAGTCAGAAGCCTGTCAGAACTGTTTTAGCCACTAGAAGGTGCTAAACCACAAACAGTAAGTTCTTTTTGCTTGCTTGCTCTGCTATCTGACCTGTTGTTAAATTTTAGTCCTCGTTTTTTGCTCTCTACTTTCAGAAATGAACCAAGGAAATATAAGGCTCAGAGCAACCTGGATATCTGACATCAACAGAACAACCAGCTCAAGACATCTTTTGGATAGCAAAATAAGGACATGTATTAACCGCACTGCAATGCATTGCATTAGGTATATTTTCAAGGAAAACAAATACTGCCAATTTTAAAGCAAATGTATTTCTTAAGTAGGAACAAATGCAATATACAAAAATCACTAATGAGTGATTTCAGACTGTATTCCATCTGTTCTATTAGTCCCACGTAATTTGCCATATAAGGATTTTTTTATGTGACAGCTTGAAAAAATTATTAGCTATGGTTTTGAGAGTCAGAGTGTACTCTGCAAGGGTTTTTTCCTCTTCACTTTTTCTTCCAATTACTATGTGTGACCATACCAAACACAAAGCTGCCTTTTCAGTACATTTCCAATGTATACATTAATACTAACACATATATTTGGAGTCCTAGGAAGAAACAAGGAAATGAAGTTATATACTGAAATACAACATCATAGACATACCTTAGTAAGTAGCTGACTCATGTACATAAAAGCAGGTGTTACAACTGGATGCCAGAAGTCCGAAGTTGGAAACAGCAGAGATGTAATTTTCAAATAAATAAGCTGATAGCACATAAGACAGAGTAAGGCAAAATATAGTAAGACATTATTCCCAGGATCTTGACTTCACACATATGTAACTTATTAATAACTGTCATGTAGTAGTCTAAAAATACTACAATATATGTAATTTTGAGAAATATGATATGATACATGACCTATTTATTGTGACGACTGCTTAAGTTACATGAGAAAAATGGAATACCCATTCTAGGTCTAACATTGCACTAATTCAACAAGGCAGCTGAAAGAACAACCAAGAAGGAATCGTGTCTCCCAATGCCATTTACTCCATAAGAAAATCTGGCCCCCTTCAGCCCACCACAATCACATTCTCACACATTCTCACAAACAAATGAGCAAGTGGCCACACAGGACCTGTGACACGTTTCAACAGGTCCTCACCACAGACAGTTAAGTGATCAGGATCCTCGGGCACTAGCACACATCGACAAATAACGGTTGTAGCCAGAAGTTAGGTACACTTCTACTGGAGGGTACTTGTTAAAGAGCTACAAGTGACCTCCTGTCAAGACCATACGGATGTTAAACAGCAGTTGTGAGGTAATTCTGAAAATTATCTAAGTGGATATTTACATAGTAAACTAGATGCAAGTAAAGTTTTATTGTCTCAGCTCTGTTTCTCTCTCTGATGTTTCTGTTGTAAACAAATATTCTCCTGACTGTTTTGGTTACTAAATACCACAGTCCAAATTTCAGGGTAGATTAACTATAGGCACATACAAGGTCTACTAACACAACTGGTCTAACGAACGTCCATTCAAACAAGTCCTCTGAGAATAGAAGAGTGATATAATTCTGCCCTAGAAGATAATGATGGCTTGAAACCTGAAAAAGTCCACTGAAAGGAATGAAAGTCGTAAGTGTTACTGGTGTCACAAGGATGACTGACAAAATAAAAATAGAAGTTAAAAGCCCTCTACATTTCCTGTAAAATCCAAAACATCCTGAATAAAGACTCTTCAAAAGAACTCTATAAATATTTTCCAAGTGTAAGAACCAAGTCTTCTAAGCAAATCCTTCAGTCTATTTTCTTTCAATAGCCTAATTATTCCATTAAGCAGCACTCCTTCATCCAGCTGGGAGACAGAAAACAAGTAGCTCCCTCTGGATTACTGACCTATGGTTTGTCTTTGAAACTTTTTACTATAATAAACAAATGTTAATTTTGCATATGCTCCATTCGTTAATTCCCTAACAGTCATTTACCTCGACACTGAAAGAAGAGTCTGTTCACATTTGTCACGGCCAGTGAAATTTTGAAATATTACTAACATAAGAAGGAAAGGTCAATTCTTTCCAAGTCATTAATTTAGCAATTATCATATATGAAGTACTAGGAAATATTGTATTTTTATATCCATAATAATATTTCATTGTTATTTTTGTTAACCAAGGAGATAGTGCACTTCTATGGAGCACTTTTTTAAATATTTGCACTTAACACAAGCAAAGAAATTCACAAGTTCTTCCCAGAACTACCCATTTACATTTCATCAGGAAAACAAAGAGTCACACTTCTATTGTGAAGAACATGTGTGGAGGGGGCTGTTTGTTTGTCTGTCTGGATTTTTTTTGTGTTACAACTTATCTCCAGAGAGGCAATTTAAAATACTGAGAAACCGAAGAAGTCACAGATGCTAATAATTCATTACCTACTTTGAAATATAAAATTGAATTTAATATCATCTCGCATTTTTTGTCATTTCTGTGCTAATGGAAAGAACAAGAGATTTTCCTAGCAGTATGCATTCATTACCGTGTCTAAACCTGGAAATGTTGCACGGCCTTTGACTTCAATTACTTCTTCCATATCATGTGCAGCGTCTCGAAGGATAAACTTAATACTGTCACTGGCTGCCTCAGGAAACATCTGGCAAAGATTGTACAATGGCCTATTAACAAGAAATGTAAGTCATAATCAAGTTACACCACTGATGTTAATAAAAAACTGATTTTTAAGCACCTGTCGTAAGATTTCTTGTGTTCCATCTACATTGTAAGAGTAGAGAGATATATATACACATATACAGTAAAACAGTAACAAATTCCCTGAAAGAAATTATTCTTTTCAGGAATAGCCACCCAGTATAGAGATTGCTATGGTAATACTTTTAGAGATAGGTATTTTTCATTGGGCCTTCTAAGATAATCTTTGATTTGGTGGTTTCTAAATCTTAAAAAAAAAAAGTTAAAAACTTTAACATACACTCCCAAATAATCTGCTATCATTAAAACATATCCTTCTGAATCTCCTAACTCTACATTTTACTGCACTGAGGTATGCTGGCACATACCAGGCAGCCCACTACTCTAAACACTCTCAGCCAATGTTAAACAGCATGTGAGGCAGCAATGTGGTTAGCAAAATTATTACTTAAAACAAGAAAAAAATACCCACAAAGTTAGGTCAGTTCCTGGCCTATGGTTAGTGCCTACAGGGAGATGCAGTCAGGAGTCTGCATCTGTTTGGTCAGGGGTTTTCCAGTATTTTCAGTTAAAGCTGTCTGTAACGATATTAATAAACCCCAGTTCTAGAAAACAATCAAAACGTGTTTACACTTTTTTACAAAGCCCCAGCATGTGCGACAGTATCAGCGGGTCAGTGCTCTTGCTGATGAACGCAACCGAGCGGTGAATGCTAAAGCTGCACATAACAGATTTTTTTAAAAAACTTACTTACTTTAGTATGAAATAAAAAACATATGCTGAAAACTACATACAAACAACTCACTGAAAGAAAGCTGTCCAGCCTGCAAAGTCAAGGTAAGAATCACAGACTAATTTTGGTTGGTAGGGACCTTTGGAGATCATCTGATACAACGCCCTGCTCAAAGCAAGGCTAACTTCAAAGCTGGATCAGGTTGCTCATGGCTTTGTCGAGTTTTGTGTATCTTCAAGGGTGGAGATTCCATAGCCTCTCTGGGAAACTTGTTTTAATGTTCAGCACCTTTGCTGTGTAGGTATTTTTTTTTCCCTTACATCTAATTGGAATTTCCCTTGTTGCAGCCCGTGTCCATTGACTCCCATCCTTTGCTGTATACCTCTGAGACAATTTTGGCTCTCTTGTCACTATAACTGCCAGGTATTTGAAGACAACAATGCCAAACTGACAACTTCCTGCAAAGTGTTTATTTGGAACTTCTGTATGAGCTTGCTATAACACTCTTTAATTCCATTTTCATCTAGTTTTCTGAGTGAATTCATAGAATGGAAACCCATGGAAAAAACAGATTGCAAAGGGAACTGCACACAGTCATTGCAAAGCTTAAAATCCTTACTCATCAGTCTAAATAACTTTATATACGGAAGTCTGCATGCATACATGGTATTATTTATCCAATGCCCACAAAAAGCATATTACAGATCAGAAATTACATTCTGAGGTTTATGAAAATGTCTTGGTACAACTAATAGCTCAGGCAATACATGAAAAAAAAAAGTTAAAAGAAATATAAATAATAAGACTACAAGACTACAGAGCTGGAGAGTTACCAGTTGCCTACAATTCCTATGGAACTATTCAAAACAAACAACATGCTAAATGCTTTACCCTAGGTAGCTTTTCTCTTTAAATGATAAAGTCTATAGGATTTATTACTTACAGGACCAGTCTGTCAATTGTTCTGAGCTCTGGTAAATCCAGAGTTGCTAACTCCCCAATATACTCCAAAAGGAAGCCAAACAATTTCTGCAAGAAGCGTAATATGTTAAAATTATTAGTTTGTTGGGTTTTTTTCTCTCCCGTTGTACTTACTCTTAAGCAACACAAAACAGTGATACAGAAGTTAGGAAATGAAGAGTGGTATGCTGATTCTACTGCTATGCACAAGCACCTATGTTTTATACTGCTTCCTGAATACTTACTTAAACTTACCCTGCAATTCAAAGTTAATTTTAAATCTTAAAACAAAACAAAGTAACAAAACCCTCATACTTCCAACTTTGCTTTGTTTCCCACTGCAAGGCTTGGATGATTGCATTTCTGAATTCTCTCCAGTATAGTAAGCTGCTGTTCTATTGTTCTTCCAGCCAGTAAAGACTTAAATGTCTCATAGGACTCAGGAACTAGAAAGGAAAAACAAAAATTGACCAGACAAAAAACTCAAACTTAACATACTCAATTCAAGTGAACATCTAACAAATTTCCAATCTGAAAGTGTTGTTATTCAGAACATACCGTACAGCTTTTAAATAATCACCTTTGAAACACTAATAACCTATCAGCATATATGTAATATTATCTATATGAACATAAGTCAGAAAATAATGTAAATGTTTTTCAGTGATTATTATTTCCAATTGTATTTGCTGCCTAAGCTGAGCACAACTATGCTGACGCACACAAAGCGGAATTAAACTTAAGTACACATTCAACCATAAATTTACCGCAATACAATTAGCTCTATGTTTAATTCACACCTAACTAGCTTTTTCATGAAGGATATTAAGACAAGTAAGAATCTTGTCACTAACAGAAAATAATTAAAAAAAAAAATACAAGCCCAACCTGGAATATATTTAGTCTTTTGCATAGTCTTTGAGTTATTTTAATGTGACTGCTTTCTGGTTAAAGCAAAACCTGAACATGATTTAGAAGGCTTTGTGTAATAGAAGTGATCTCCTTTTGATGGAAAAATGCAAGCACTTGAGGAAGTTGTTTGAAAGGTTGTTTAATCTTCTGACGGATACTTTTGTTAGAGAAATCTATAGTAGAACAATAGTTAGATGCATTATGTACTTAATATTAATGAATGATTTGCGTACTACTTGAAACATGCCTCCTCCTTCCTCCTAGGCACAGAATCAAAAGGAGTCAAATTGAGTGTCTCAATTTAACAATACTGTGATGTTATATCACAGGGGTCAAACATCAGAATCCTGCCTCTCTAAGCATCTTCTCTGACAAAAATGTCAGTCCAAACACTTGAGAAAGTAACATTTTCTCATTTAAGTACAGAGAATACTATTCTGGCTTCCCTTATGCAAAACACTATCACTTTGGACTGGATGTGTTGGTGGTCTTCAGAAAGGAGCACAGATCTTTTCATTTTTCTCCCCAATTATTTATATTTCAATTCTAAGGGTGATTGGAGGAGCAGGAACAGCTCTGGGGTGAAACAGATCTGGTTCCCACTGCTCATAGCATGATTAGGGCTGATCACTAAGAACAGCAGTTTTACTGGCTACTCTTGGAATAGTAGAAGAGAACTATTAAGCAAAATGTCATGGATGAACAGGAATATGTAAGATCTTATAGGGTAGAAAAAGAGACTGGTTATAAACCCCCTGAAAACAACAGGGATCTCTGTATTGGTCTTTTGCTTACCAGCAAATGTATAGGGAAGCTCTGATTTGGCAGCTTCCATTTTTGGGTCTAGTTCCTCCACATTCTGTGATTCATTTTCATTTGTCTTGGGTTTCTGCTGTTCTTTATTCCCTGCAGCTTCTTCTTCACTCTCTAGGTCAGATTCAAGATCAGAGTGGCTGTCTGCAGCACCATCCTCCTCATCTTCACTAGCAGATTCTTCATCACTTTCTTCTTCATTCTCATTATCTTCCTTCCCACCTTCCTCCTTGTCTTTTTCCTCCTCCTCTTCATTTTCAATATTAATTCTTCCATCCTGTTTGTAGAGAAAATAAGCCAGTTAAAACACTGATAAAGCGACAGCAGCTTGCCAGAATCACCATGCAAAGCCATCATTAAATACATATGAACAGGATCTGAGCCTTGCTACCTGACCAAGCAGTGAATGAGTGCTGTCCAAGAAAGGATTTTAAGGAAAGCACATGCATACAGATGTAAGAATAGCAGGGTATTTCCAAGGGGTTGTAAGAAACTGGAAGACTAGGAGGTAGTCTGTGAGGACTAAAAGAATCAACACAAAAACTACTAGCAGATGATATGAAAAAAATTCAGCATCACTTATAGAAGCATTCTTGGTTAAGAAAAAAACATATTCCTTCTATGTATTAAAATAGCACATCAGATAAATATTGGTTCCAATCCCGATTTTATTAATCATCAGTTTAAATTCACATTCACAATTTGTATTCTCCCCTTTGAGGACAACAGCAATTCCCTTGCTATTTACATGTAAGAGGATGAGAGGATCAGTACGCACACATGTACCAGTCAGGATGACTCACTACACCACCTTTAAGGTTAAATTGCTCTGCCACCTTAATCAAAGCTACTTCATAGGGGAAGGGTTCTTTCAGAAACCCACACATCCTCAGGATGAAATTTGGTGGAAGTTGTATCAAATACAGTAGAAACTTAAAAAAACCAAACCACCAAAAACCACCAGGAGGGCTAAAGCCCTCTCTTCAGCCCAGTATAGCAGGAGTATAGTCAGCAGATTGAGGGAAACAACTATCCCCTCTACTCGACTACACAGAATACAGAGTCCAGTTTTGGGCCTTCAGATACAATAAAGACATCTATAAACTGCAGCAAGCTTAGCAGAAAGCCAGCAAGATTGTTGAGGGCCTGGGGCACCTGCCATATGAGGAGAGGCAGAGCTGGGCTTTTTCAGCCTGGACCAAACAATCACCTTCCAGTACCTACAAGGAGGATCACTGAGAAGGCAGAACACCACCCTTCATCACAGTCCACAACAGGAGAATGAAAAGAAACAGGCCTAAGTTGAAACAAGAGAAGTTCAGACTGGATATAAAGAGAAACTTTTTCACTGTAAGAACAGTCAGTGGAACAGGCTGCCCAGAGACACGTGCAGCTTCCATTCTTGGAGATTTTCCAAGAACAGACTGGAAAAAGCCCTGAGCAAACTGGTGATTTCACAGCTGACCCTGCTTAGAGTAGGAGACTGGACTAGAGGTCTACACAGAGGTCACTTCCAAAGTGATTTTCCCATCATCTTTTCATAACTCTGAAAATTCTGAAATTTTAAACCTTACCTTGTAAGACAATAAACGTCTGTCATCTTTATCCAGGATGAAGCCATCAGCGAGATCATCAGCTGACATGTGGCCGGGTTTCTTTTTATTTGCCTGTTCATCTATTCCACGCATTCGACGTATTCGATCTGCCTGTGTTTTAGAAGAAATACCACACAGAGATGTGAGCCATCTAGATCAGTCAGGTAACTACACCAGAATGGAAAATCCCTCAAGTACTACAGCTAAGAAAAATCAAAGGAAAAAAAAAGTTAACTGGGATTACTCAACAAGTTGATGAAAAGAAAAAAAAAAAACAAATGAGAAATTATGGCAAAAAGCTGATGATACCTTATTTTTTGTGGGGAATGCAATCTGATAAGAGCACATAACACAATCGGATTGGCTTATTTGAAAGGCTTTAAAACTGGGTTTAATCAGAAACATTATGTTCTCTCATTTTAAAAAACTTACCTGTTTTGCTTATGAGACAATATACGACTGCTAGAAAATGGAAGCTTCTAAAGTGTTTTAAGATTCTGCAGTGTTGATCTGTGCTTCCTATATATATAACAAGTTTGCAGTAAACACAATCATATCCTATGATTTTTAAGATATACTCAATCTGTAATAGATTCAGTGGGCAATATCTGAGCCAATCATTTACAAAAAACTTTCCACCTGGGCAACCAGATAGACTGTGTGTCAAACAAGATGACAAGAACAGAAAAGAAAAAATTCTTCTTTCTGTTCCACTATTAGTTATTGAGCTGTTATGAGGTAACTTGAAGGTACTGGTACTGAATCCCTGCAGTCCTAAGTGTATCCCTAGTATATCAAGACAAAAAGAAAAAAAGGAGAGAAACATTTACCATATTATTGATTCTTTACGTAAGACTCAGAGGTCCACATAACAGAAAGAGCATGCAACATTTCCCAAAAGAATCCTATTCCTCTGCAAAGCAAAGCTATATATGTGCTACTGCTGTACTACTCTTGCAACACCAGAAGAAAACAATAAATGACTTGCTGGTGTATTAATTCAACTGCTGTGCAACTTGATACTCCCCCTTACTGTCTTAGAAGCACTTCTCAACTCTGAGTAACATTTAAAGGCAAATTGAAGTGAGATTACATTTTTACTGAAGAAAGATTAACTCATTTCATAAACCTCACCAGTCACGTACTAAGCCTATGTTTTCTTGTTGTGATATCAGATTGCAAAGAAAACAAACAGAAGATTTCCTGAATTCACCCTGACGAATTGCAGTTTAGTACAGCCCCTTTCAATTTACGCTCAAGCAATGAATACAAGTGGTCACTCCCAAAAGACAGGCCAAAAAACAATCTAAAACCATAAACTGTATACCTCCAGCTTCTGGAGTCGCGCCTGTTCCTCTTTTGCCAATTCTTCTTCTGTCTTCATCCTTTCTGAAGGTTTTGCTTTCATCTCGAATCCAAGTTCTCGAACAATCATATCATATTCATCAGGCTAAAGAAATATTTATATAATTGTTTATTATCTTAAGTTTTATTATTCTACTTTGAAGCCACCCCTCTGCCAGGCTAACAGCTAAGAAGTAAGACTGTTAAGATATAAGGAAAAGATCATTTCCAAAGAAAGCTGCAAGAACATTCAAGTCTGTATTAAGACAAGGAATGGAATGAACACTTGAATAGAAATTTTCCTGGAATTTCCCTCTCCCCTATTTAAGTTACTCACAACTGAAAAACTTGTAAGTAGTATCTTAAATAAAAACTGGTTTACTTACTAATTGAAAAACTTTAAAATATTGTTTATTAATAAAATACTGTTTTCTAAAGCATCTAAATTTATAGTTTACATTTCACTTTATGCCACCTGACATGAGCTAAGTCTTTGTTATCTTAGTTACATGGATGTCTATCTTACAGAAAACAAAAGGGATGTGATACTCTGTGTTTAAGCAGCATCCCTTTTTGTAAGAACAGTATGCAATTTGCAACAAGGAAACATCTGTTGTCAAGTAAAAGTTGTTTTATCCAAGGAACACTGCAAAGGCATTCAAACTAAGTCAATGTTCTCAACAATTCCAATTCTTCAAGAAAACATATTTGATGTAAAAATAAGCTGTAGCCAACAGTGCTGTTCAACCTGCAACCTCTCTCATATTTGTTAGGTAATTAAAATCAGATAAATAGTATAAAACCCTCTATTACTCCAACTAAAACTGTCCTAAAAATGTAGCATTCCTTTAATGGGAATAGCAGGCAACATTTTATTTTACAAAGTGATGAACTTTGCCTTATACTTCACCCACTGTAAATCAAAACCACAAGTTATTAGAACAAAAGCCAAAACTTTACCTTGGGTTTTTCTACTTCTTTGTCCTTTCTCTCCGACTTTGGGGTTTTGCGGGCAATAAGGGTTTGGATTTTCTTCCAGTCATTGTCAAGCTTTTCTGTGAGCTCTAATGCACTTTCTCTCTGAGTTTGCCTCTCTTGCTAGAAAAACAGGAATCAAAGACAAATGCAGCAGTTATGTTCAGATGAACATGACATGGCATTTACAGCCTAAAACCAAAATATTGTATTTAGCAAATGAATAATTTTCAATACTGAACATTTTAAAGGTGTAAACATTCTTTATGGAAGAAGCAGTATAGAATTACGCTGAATGGCACAAGGGTTGCATACAGAAAACAAGTTAGTGAGAGTCAATAGAAGGGGAGATTTGGGGACACAAAGGAAAGGCAAATATTCAGTGTATAGTCTAAAATGACTATACTAAAAATACATGTAAGAGGATGAGAGGATCAGTACGCACACGTGCACACGTGCACTAAAAATACAAAGTCAGATGGACTTTATTCAAGGAGATTGGACTCTTCTCCTAGACAGCTGTCTCCTTTGTTTTCTATGCCACTACTGTTTTATTCTGCAAAGACAGAAATTGTGACAGCTTCTGAATCATGCTCATTTATACTTCAGGGCTAAAAACTCACCTTTTCTTGTTTAGATTTGGCTATCATCTCTTCTATGAGTTCCTTCCTAGATTTAGGTTTTTCCTCCTCTTCATCTTGCTGCCCACTTGATGCTTTTTTACGAAGGAGGCCTCCACCCCCTCCAAAGTGAGTAGCAGTTAACTCAGCTAGGGGAAAAAAAAAAAATTAAGACTGTGAACACTTTTCAAATCCATACATCGAGGCTGCAGTGCTGCGGCTGCTGCTGAGACAGTATCTCCCTACACTTCAAGAATGGGAGCAATTAAAACTATTGAATCAATCATGTACTATTCTCATCCCAATGGGAATGGACATAACAAAAGAGATAGATGATAGGCATATAATTTATGCCTACAAACATTTTGTATGAGGTAGGAATGTATTTTTTTCAATATTTTAAATAGTATTTAGGTGCAGAGGTGCAACAAGGCAACCAGAAAACTCACACTTCAGATTCTGCCAAAAGGGCTCAAAATACAGGTACCTATGTAACACTGAAAAGACCACAGATTAAAGAAGCTTGCCAGGTAGGTAGCTCGAACTTAACGTCTGCTAAAATCCAGAGAGCTGTTCTGTGTGTGGTTAAGTAATCAAATCTGGCTTAAACATCCCAACCAATTACATAGTATTCTCTCTCATTGAAAGACAGTACTGAACAAATGATATACATGTACCAACAATAAAACCAGCAGTGGGATACTCGCTGACATGTCTTACCTGACAGTGTTCCTCTTTCTTCTGTGTCACTGTCACTATCAATAATATCATTTAGTTTTTCAACTTCTGCCAAAGATTGGCCATAATGAGTCAACTCCTCATCTTCATTAAGATTATAGATATTCTTCTTTCCATAATTTTGCTAAGAAGAGTAAAACAAATCAATTAAATAACAAATAAAATATTTTTAATTCCCAGGCCAACAAATTAATAAAGCCTGTATACTGTGTTCAGTTTTGGGCCCCTCACTACAAGAAAGACGTTGAGTGCTGGAGCATGTCCGGAGAAGGGCAACGAAGCTGGTGAAGGGTCTAGAGCACCAGCCCCATGAGGAGTGGCTGATGGAACTGGGGTTGTTTAGTCTGGAGAAGAGGAGGCTGAGGGGAGACCTTATCGCTCTCTACAACTACCTGAAAGGGGATTGTGGTGAGATGGGCGTTGGTCTCTTCTCCCAAGTAACTAGCAATTGGACGAGAGGAAATGGCCTCAAGTTGCACCAAGGGAGGTTTAGACTGGATATTAGGAAAAATTTCATCACTGAGAGAGTGGTCAAACATTGCAACAGGCTGCCCAGGGAGGTGGTGGAGAGTCACCACCACTGGAAGTATTCAAAAAATACGTAGACGTGGCACTTCAGGACATGGTTTAGTGGGCATGGTAGTGTGGGTTGATGGTTGGACTTGATGATCTTAAAGGTCTCTTCCAACCTTAACGATTCTGTGATTCTGTTTTTAATGCTAGTTGAGAAGATTCTTATACCCGTGTTCTGTTCCAGCAGAGCACTGGAATAAGAGCACTACCAGACCAATACTTTCATTCAAATACATTAAATATTAAGTGAGAGAGTATGATCTTATTCTTATACTAATATAGAAGTGGAGTAACTCAGAAAACCTAAGGAAGCTTAAGTTTTACCTGCATATCAGCAACATATATATCAGTATGATGAGGCAGAAAGAACAGTACTGCACATACAATTCACATTACAGAATGACAGCAAGTTACAGAGTTCTTCTAGCCAGCAAATGAAATGGCTGCTGTTCAACTGCTGTACTGGAATCTTAAAGAGTACTTGATGGTGGTTGCCTCTTCCTAATTAAATTCCCAAATGATAGGAGTCAAAGAAAACCAGTAAATCTGCTTAAAACTGGCTTTCTTGCATATCAGTGCTCAAAAGTGCTCAAAGAAATTTCTGCTTCAAATAGCTGTCTTGCAAAATGAGAAAGTTTTCATGAAAAATTTTTGATTCCCACAAAAAATTGCTTTTTCATAAAAAGTTCCAAACATATAAATTAAAAGAAGCATTACCTTGCAAAACCCTCTGTTAAGGGGGACACTCCCAACCTAAAAAGTCTTGTTTCTTGTGGTAGGGTTTTTTTGTTTGTTTTGTTGTGTTTTTGGTTTTTTTGTTGTGTTTTGGGTTTTTTGGTTTTTTTTCTTTTTCTTTTCTTTTTTTTTTTTTTAATTCCTATACTTTACCTGTCTTTCCAAAGTGAATCGTCTGATCATCTTTTCCTCTGGACTTATTTTGGTGTTATATTCACCAAAACGTTTATCTTTAAACACATTTGTCTTCTCCCTTTCTTTATATTCTTTCAGTAATGTTTGAGTACGCTAGAACAAAAAAACGGGATCAAATTAGAAACCAAAAAGAGCAACTACTTTCACAGCCAAGGCAAAAAGGCTCCATGGTATCCTGGCAATATAATCTAATTTATCAGAATGCAATGAAAGAGAAGGAAAAATTAGCAAGAAATGAGATGGGAAGCTTATACAATATATTCAGAGTCATTAAGTTCTCTTACAAGCTGCCCATATTATGATAAAATATGGTACACTGTATCTCACCTTTACTTTATCACATATAAAAACTCTGCATCGCCACTGCAGAATTCTGATTTGTCTGAAGCTTAGTAATACAAGAATAGCATATTAAAAGAAACTAAAAAAGCCCCATTTTCAGCTGAACCTTTTTTGGTCTTGTCATCTAAGACATAAAAAAACCCAAGTGAGTACATACATCTAGCGCTCTGCTTTAGTGTTGAGCACAGGGAGGTTATGCATCAAAGCAGTAAAGGGAAGTTTAGCAGACCTAAATGAGGTAGCATGTGCTGTAGTTATGCTACAGGTAAGGAGTCAGGCTTACTTTTCAATGCCAGACATCTAATTCATAACAAGCATTTGATTTACCTTACTATTAAATAAAACTCAAAGACCTTAAAATGTGATAGTAAACATTTATAAAGTTTTCTAAAATCTGGACAAATAGTCATGAAGACTGAAAGCTAATTTATAATTTCATGCTGAAGATCTTATATAGTTTCTAAAGGAAGAAAATGCTGGCCATGTTTAGTCTGAAAAAAAAAGTTTATTGAAAACACGTTAATTGAACATTACTGGAAGGTACTGTTGCTATTCATATTACCATGAACTCACCAACTGCTGCACTGAAGGAAAAGGCTGTGTTTCCTACAACAGGCCTCTCCAGCCTCATTGACCATTCACAACTTTCAGACACTCCTGTAGCTGACAGCAGAACTCAGGTTTCATCTATTGCTGTCCCAGTGCTACCTTGTATTTACTTCTTGCACAGAATATATGAATTATTATGCAGCTTAACCACTTTACATGAACTTTAATCTCTACTAATACCTTGGATACAGAAAAGCACTTTTGTTTATCAATTCTTTGATATCCTCTCTCATTCATAAAAAATTATTTAATGTATCATCTCTCAGAATGCATGCAAAATGATAAACTATCCATTTCCTTTTGCTGCACTATTTTTAAAAAGAACTTCTCCTTTCATTAAGTGCTTTAAATTCCGTTTGACAACAAGATTTTATGTAACATGTCAGCGAAAATCTCGGGGGCATACTTTCAAATTACACTTTTTTCAGCTTTAATAGAATCTACAGAGACTTTAACTTCTTTCTGGTTTGTTTGAAGTGACAGATCATAAAAAATTCCAGTGCTTCACACACAGATAGGGTAGGTTGCTGGAATCCCAGATGCATAGTATGACACAATGTTCTCCCTTATGCATTACAGATTTTGGTCAGGTAGCTCGTGATGTCAGTAGAGAAAGAGGCAATTTTAAAACAGTGTAAGGGTGGAATAGAAACGATTTACTCTTCTTAAGTTGTACGAACGTTCTTATGAGAGCAACAAGGACAGATCACTATTTTGCATCCCAACCTACTTCTACAACGCAACTATTTAATCAGTGTGCAAAAAGTCACATGCACGTTTTCCAAATCAATGGTAGTTTTTTTGTATCTACACATTTCTCACTGCATTCAGACCTTAGTGCCCTGTCAAGCTTTCACTATTACAGCAATGTTGCACCATTACTGAGAAGCTTCACATCCTGTAGCAACCGAAACCGACCAACATAATGTACACTGACAACCACCTGCACTCTGGTCCAGTACTCGCTTACCAACAACATGTGCCCCCATGTATTCTCGGCCTGGACTATCTGGTCAGTCATTCCCACACATGCAGTAAGGGAGACTTGCACTATTGAACCCAGTGGATTGCATTAGAGGGAGATGTTTTCAGCAGGCTCTTGATCATCCTCTGTGCAGTGTCTGGTGACCAGCCACTCCTCCTGTACACAATGGAGATAGTCTCTTATCTCATCTGAGATGGCTCCAGGCTTATCACCTCTCCACCACAGCTACATCTACAGATGCCATCCTTCCTCCCAACTTTTGATGTCCTCTTACCTTCTTGATGGCCTTGGACCGTGAGACACCAGGCAGCCCCACATCATTCTTGGTCTTCCTCCCCAAGATGTTAAACTTCTGCCTGTTGACCTTCACCTCAAAGGGGTTGCTCTTGACCATGGCCATAGCTGACTTCACGGGGCCCCGGGCTGTGGAGGGCGCTGAGACCTTTCGCTTCCGCTTAGCTGCCTTCCCCATTTTTGGTTTGGCTGCCTTTGTGGATGCGTGTGGGGAAGGAGAAGCTCAGTACTCACTCAGCGTGCGGGGACCAGCACTGGAGGTGCAAATGGGCCGAACAAAATGGCGCCTGGGGGAGCAAAAACCCCTGCACTACCCCTCAGACCTGAACTCTGCCCTCCGAGGCTCTCCCCAAACCCCGTGAAGTGACGGCGGGAGGGCGCGGAACGTAACAGAGGAAGGAGCGGACTAGTAACAACCCTCCCAGTAACAACCGGCGTGCTCCAGCACTCCCACACGAGTACCGACAGCCTCACACTTCTCGCGAGAGCCTTCCCCAGCTATCGCGAGATTTGTAGCTCCTCCCCTCCCGCTTGGGGATGGGCCGGGGAGAAGGCCGGGAAAGGTTTAATGCACTACATATCCCAGCACGCAGAGCGCGGCATGCGCCAAAGAGACGCCGTGCTGCCGCGCGAGACCTGCTGGGAGTTGTAGTCCCAGGGAATTAAGGAGGGGAGGTGATACAGGCGCGCAGGGGC